CGTATGAACCAATCGTTGGTCACCGGCTACCATGGGACTGCATCTCCTTACGATGTTCCACTGCCTTGTGGATCAGATCTTCAGGTCGAATATCATATTGTATTGCTGTAGGTGGTTATTATCATTTTCAATTTTCCCATGCTTATTATTTTTTTACAATATGAGTAAACTGTGATTGTGTAGATTATCGAGACATCTATTCAGGAATGAATCTTAAGATGTGCCATGTCGACTAATAGAAGGATTGTTTTTTAGCATTTAAATTCATGATTCGATCTAAGCTAGACCATCATTGAATTTCTAAAAGCACTAGACATCCGTTTCATCCTGATATGGGACTTCTGAGCAGTGTGCATCCACGATCCCGCATGTGAGATTCGAACCCAGGACCTTCAATTTCGAGCGCGTAGAATCGATTAAAAAACGACCGAGGACAATTTAATTAAACTTTAAGTTGATTCATGAAGTCACTGATTGTTAGGCGAAAAGGTTTCTAAAGAACTGATTGATTCTAATTGGATCATTTTAATTTGTGATTAGAGATGTTGGTTAACATAGTTAAAAATTGGTTATACTGAAAAAAGGTGCTTTCATAATTTATGAACATTCTTTTAAAACTGTATAGAAATGATACTTTTTGGCTTACTAAATTTTTCATTACACTGATGTGGGTTCTCGAATCCTTAAATAACACAAAGTTATCTCAGTGTCACGTAAAATCAATGGCTGACTGTTTTGTACAGTGAAAGTAATATTAAAGACAGCTGATGATCAGTTTTACCGACTGGGTAAAACCAATAGATTTTCAACTACTTTTATTCATGAATGTATTTATGTAGGTAATTTAGATAACTTGGTTTATACATTCGACGAGTAACGCTAATGAGTATCTTTACATACACTATGTAACAGATCTGTTTTAATGGAACATGGTAGGTGGTTGGATGTAGTCAGCAGAAAATCCTTGACCTAGGTTTTAAGCTAGCTTACACTCGTCAGTAAGGCATATCTAGTATATTAAAGGGACTAACCTACTATGAGGAGTTAGAACCGGGTAAATCCGGTTCACAACCCGAGACAACATCTTCAGACTATTCGGGCCGTGCCTGACCTTCTATAGGATTAATCACTGAATATTAACCAAAGGTTTATTTATCTAGTCGTTAATGCTAACCAACTTCGATTCATTAAGTTACATAGGAATATATAACATTAGATTAGATTACCGTTAACTTTAAATAACATTATTATATTAGATAGTACTTACTTACTTACTTACGCCTGTTACTCCCAATGGAGCATAGGCCGCCGACCAGCATTCTCCAACCCACTCTGTCCTGGGCCTTCTTTTCTAGTTCCATCCAATTCTTGTTCATTTTTCTCATATCTATCTCCATTTCCCGGCGTAATGTATTCTTTGGTCTTCCTCTCCTCCTTCGACCTTGAGGATTCCATATGAGGGCTTGTCTTGTGACGCAGTTGGGTGTTTTCCTCAATGTGTGTCCTATCCACTTCCAGCGCTTCTTCCTGATTTCTTCCTCCACTGGAATCTGATTTGTTCTCTCCCACAGTAGGTTGTTGCTTATAGTGTCCGGCCAGCGGATCTGAAGTATTTTGCGTAGACAACTGTTAATAAACACCTGTATCTTTTGGACGATGGATTTCGTAGTTTTCCAGGTTTCCGCCCCATACAGTAGAACTATCTTCACATTTGTATTGAAAATTCTGACTTTGGTGTTGGTTGCTAATTGTTTTGAGTTCCAGATATTCTTCAGTTGTAGATATGCTGCTCTTGCTTTGCCAATCCGTGCCTTCACATCGCTAAAAAAACGCTAACCAGAAAGAATTATTCAAACCATATTAGATAGTAATATGTATAAACTTGCTCAGCTGGGCTGACGACCGAAACAGATTAATTACAGGTACTTCAGGAAAACATATTCCAAAATGTGGTCTTATCAAATGTCATTTATGAGTTAAGATCTAATTGTCAAGCAGGTTTATCATTGAAGTCACAGATCCTTATTAGAATTTCCAAAACTTCATTTCAAAGCTCTTAACCAGTAAGGCTACGATTATCATGAAATCATAAGGTTTAAGGAGATTTCATTAAATTTGTAAGAAATAAAGTACAAATTAAGTTGCTTTTAAATATTCCAGTGATTATAGAACCCATCAGTCATTAAATTTTTACCTCCTATCCAGAACTGTCTATGTTTATTTGATTTCGAAATAACATCCTCTAATCTCATAGATAAGTCTGGACATTCGAGCGTTGCAATAATGCCAATCTAGCCAACTCCCCTAAACTTTAAACACAACGAAATTTGATACTTGAACATAAATGACTGTAACACAAACAAAGTTTCCCTTCAAGTGTTAGTTTATGTAATGAAATCAATGGTTAAGTGGTTTGTTACATAAGAACTTATAGCTCTAGAAATTTAGCTGAAATTAAAAACGAGTATCTGTCATTTAACTCCGCCTGGAGCCCCTCTGGGGCTATCACCGGTCTCATGCTTAGATAAATGAAGAGGTTTGGGCATGAGGTTACCAACCCTATCCCGCAAAAAACCAACTCTAAAAAACCTCTAACCAGAAAAAATGATTCAAACAATTTAAACTCTGCCCTGGGAGCTAGGAAGTCTTTATATACAAGAGTTATGACACCTCATGATGAAAGCCGAGTTCCTTAGTAGTCATGAGGCTGATGCCTCATTCTGACAACCATAGCAACCATTAATTTAGTTACATGGAATGTTCGTACCATGTGGGAGACCTGGAGACTCTTCCAAATTGTTACATATTTCATTTGAAAACTTTATTTCAAAATAAATTTCTATCATATTCATCTAACCTTTATCTCTATCTTTACAGAATCATGAATCATATTGAGTACAATGTACAAACATCACAAGTGTTGATTGGAAAAAAAAGTTGTTTTACACTCCGTATCAATGTAATTTACATTTTGCTGAAATAATAAACGAATAATGATCTTTTGAGTTTTGTTTTCATTATTGAATTTCATTGTGAATGGTTGATTGTTTTTTTAAAACTCTATTGTCTGAGTTTATTTTATACAACTTTAATTTAAGTTTATCACAAACTACAGATCACTGAGGTATTATTGTATTGATGAATATTACTAAACTCAAAATACTGTATTGACTAAAACGTATTTGATTACATAATCTTATTGCGTTTTATTCTGAACCAAAAAGATGTTTTTACAATTGATTGATCACTGAGTGGTGATCAATGTCCTATGTGTCAGGTCCTTCTTAGTGTAAGTGGAATCAAATTGACATACAGGAGGTCGGTCGCGGCCCAGATAGCTCAGTGGTAACGTCTCTGATTGTGAAGCTAAGTGACATGGGACCGAGTCCGTCAGGGAGCACCAGTTCTCTCAAGATTACAGGTACACCTTGCTGACAAGTACCAAGTAGAACGAAAAATTGGACCAGGGTTTCTTGATGACTACCTCAAACCATCATCTTATCTCAAAAAGATGATTAAACAAACTCTACTTGATAAAATATTTGAGAATGAATGATATAATTTACCTCAACGGTCTTGAAAACATTCCATCTGATTCTATTGATTCTTTTGCTTCAAGCTTATCGAACAGAACAAAAGTATCAAATCGAGTTTATAATTATAATTCTGTAGGTGAAAACTGGTCGAATTTTCGTTTTATTCCTATGTTTGGGACTTTCCTAATAAATAAGAGAACTCTGAACAGTTTTAGCAGCTACTCAAACGTAGATACTAAAACGTTTAAATAAATAAATGTAACTAAAACTATCATCTCCTCTATCATCTGCAAGATTTGAGCCTAAAGCCAAATTTAAGCTAATTATTGAAAAAAAAAACAAATATCCTGAAAAACCATGGATCAGCGATTTTACAAGCTGGAACTTCAAACATTACCAGTCAGTCAGCCAGTCAATAATAACCAATATCATGTTGTGTACTGCGCAGGGTGGCACTCGGTCGGTTGGTTGATATAATTCAATTAGATCTATGAACTGAAGAACATGATTTCGGTCCTACAAATCAGTCATTAGTTAGAATAGCAATGAAATTTTCGAGTTTACCACCAGATAACGTTGGTTCATAGCTCACATGGTAAATAATTTGCTTGAAGGTAATAGATGTAACGAATGACACAAAGCTATAATACAGGCCTTCGTGGTGATTTGCTCTAATCATCTAACATCTCTGGCAAAACTTATTGACTTGCTTTGTATTACAATAGAAAAATTGAAATATTAACAATTAGCTCAACTGATAATAGATAAAGTCAACACTACTACAGATTTTTCATCAAAAGAAATTTGTAATTCGGAAAATTAAAGGAACCAATAGGTTGTAATAAGATTCATAAATCATTAAATTAGTGGGAAAAAACAAACAGAACATTTATAACAAAACATTTTACATTCACTTGATGTTATTTACTTGTATCTTCCAATTGTTATTTAGAACTGCAAGTGATCAGTCTCATATTGGCATATGTACATCCTGTGCAGACTGCTTCGATATTGTCTTAGATCAAAAGCATTATAAGCAAAGATAGATAATGGCTATCGAACGGTACTGTGTACGAGTCCCGGAATGGACATCAACTCTGAGATACAGGTACATCCAGCCGACAAGTCCCAAATGGGATGAAACGTGAGTTCTGGATCCCACTAATAGCCACTATCCATCTTTGTTTAAAAAATCTAACAGATTTGATAAAAAACAAACATATAACAAACATTAATGCATGATTGTGATTGTTCGTTAAGATATTTCATGAAATTTTAATTTGTCCCTCTGAATGAAACAATCATGAAGTGTCTATTCTTTAAGTGTTTTTTTTTTTACAGTGATCACAGTTGAATGTATTCTATGATGCTATGATCTACTTCACATTTCAAATAAAGATTTTATTCTATCATGTTTATTGTTTACAAATATTAATTTAAATGACATTTTATTACATTCATCTAGATTAAATAATGGCAAACATACTATTTACACTTGTACTGTTTTCTGTGAACGTTGTAGTTGGGGTAAGTGAATACAATAAATTTCTGATTTCGAGTTACCGAAATGACATTTTTTTTATTGTCGTTATGAAATTATGAACCCATTTGCTGTGGTGTATTAAAACTGTGGTTTGGAAACATAGTGAGATTGTAAATAGTTGATCATTTTGCATGTATACTATGTGTTTTGAGCAATAATTGATGTTTCAATGAGTTTGTTTTGGGATAACTGAGACAGGTAGTTAAGTGGATAGCGCAATAATGTTTGAAGTGAACGGTACTAAAGTCGAGTCTCAGAGTGAATATAAACCCTGGAATGCAAGGATACCTAGCTGACGAGTCCATAATCGAGTGAAACTCACGTTCTGTATTCCAATGCTAGCTATCAACTGAGATAAGTGTTAAATTCGTTGAAGAACTACTTGTGAGCAAACGAGTTACTGACAAATATGGAAATAGATGAAGTAAAAGGGTTAAGAGCAGTCAGATTGTCATGAATCTAATCCTTCAAACTGTTAGCTCAAGCTATGAAGGAAAATTTGAATATTTTGACCATTCTGTTCGAGTTATTGTAACCCTATATTACATGACTCAAAGCTATTTTGTAAGTAAATGCCACGAATGTGTTCGTGTCAGCATATGTACAACTGTATACTTTGGTTATACACAGTGTATGAAATGCCACGTTAGAAATTACTCAAATGATTAGGAAGAACTGGTGTTTACTTTTCGTTATTCATTCTCATCCATGATAAGTGAATAATATTGAAATGTCAAACAAATAAACAGTGCTCAGTAGTACATCAATTTGTTATAGTTGAGAACCATTAGTTGAAACTGGCGATTTATCAACTATCACTGAGACACCATAATGTTTCATGTGAAATTTCTACCGAAAGATTGGGTAACATATGATTGGAGCATACTTAGATAAGCTTCATTTATACTTGTTTTACTGGGTAGCAATAATAATAGTGATTATTATTATTAGCTTATCGATTAGACATCCATTATGCTAATTCTTAATTAATTGGATATTTTCAGCTTAAATGATGCTAACTGTTACAAAAGTTTTATAAATTTATAAAGGATCATAGGAAAGGAACAAGCTGATTTTATTAACCAGAAGTATATTGTGGTGGAATCGGTTGATTGATATAGGCTAGGGTGGGGTAGAACATCAAGAACTAGAATGTACTGCATGATTAGTTTATTCTAACTTAAAACTTCTAAACAGTATGTGACTGCTCTGTGTTCGTGTGAAATTATTTTCGCATGAGATGATAAGTTAGCCAGTGTAGTAGAAGCCTCTGTAGTAGTAAGCCTCAACATACACAAGCAAAAAAAAACAAAGATTCTCGAATACAACACGGAGAACACCGACCAAATCACACACTATGGAAAAACCCTGGAACAGGTGGAAACTTTCACATACCTGCACAACATCATCAATAAACAAGGAGGATCAAATGCAGACGTAATGGCAAGGATTGGCAAAGCAACAGCAGCATTCCTACAATTGAAGAACATATGGAACTCAAAACAACTGTCTATCAACCAACATCAGATTCATAAACTTCAATACGAATGCCAACACAGTTCTACTGTACGGAGCTGAAACTCGGTGAACCACAACAGCCATCATCAAGAGAGTACAAGTATTTACAAACAATTGTGTATGAAAGATACTCAGTGTCCGTTGACTGGATACCATCAGCACCAGCCTACAGCGGGGGAGAATAAACCAGCTTCCAGTTGACAAAAAAATTAAGAACAGATGTGGGATGTGGATAGGACATAAATTTCGAAAATCACCAAAATGCATCACGAGGCTAGTGCTCACTTGGAATGCTGAAGGGAAACGAAAAATAGGAGGGTCGAAGAACACACTGTGTTGGGAATTGGAAGCAGACATGAAAAGGATTAATCACAACTGGAAAGGACAGAGTTGGATGGAGAATGCTGTTGAGTAGCCTATGCTCCTCCATGAGGGTAACGGGCGTAACTAAGTAAGTAAGAGATGGTGAGTGAATAGGTGACATTATTTTCTCCTATCCAATGTTTGTAGAATTATTGAAAGTTCATGTTTACTGCAGGGATTACCACTTTTAAATCGACAATTAAAATAATCACTCATGTATTTGACTCAATGTTATAATGATGAATTATTTGTTTTAAAAGCTTCATAGTATAATTTATTCTATTTTTAATTTATTTCTATTTAATTCTGTAGATAGTTGGATTAGCCTTAGCTATACTTGGTGGTTTAATGACCTTTTCGAAATCTGCAACTACACGAACATTTGGTGAAATATGGGGTAGATATCTTGAGAAAATGAATTTAACAAATTCATCCATTGAACAAACTATTGCTGATGCCACAGTAAAGATGAGTGGTAAGTTGCTTTTTCTAGAACTAATTAAAATATAATTAATAATACTGTTCAATGGTTTAAATCGAAATAAATGAAGTAAAGCTTAAACCTGTAACTTATTAGTTTGAAGCTGAGTACTTTAGCTACTAAAGTGATCAGTCAGTCGTAAGCAACGTATGACATGTCATATATGTGCATCGGTTCAATTTTTCAGACAACATAAGTGCAGTGATATGGAATTATATTGATGTATACTAAGATAGTAGAATAAAAGGTGTAAAGTAAATTTTAGAGAAGATGAATGAATGCATCTGGGACACTGAAACTAATTCCGAGTCACGTCACCAAAATTTTAAAGCCATCAGATATGATAATTGAGCGGATCACAATCAGGTAGTTTACACTTACCAAAATGACTTTTCGTTACACACTACATTTCTCATATGTTCTACAGAAAATACTTATTTTAAACATTGCTAACATCATTGGATGACCTGTTTAATACACAATTAACCGGAGAACCACGTTCGGTTATATTTCCTTGAATTAGCTTGGACTAATTTGCTGAGCGAAACGTTAGATCTACTTAAGATTCAATAGCTGAGATTTTACGAAGATATTCTTCTTCTTTAGAGTGTTACATTAATATAGCACCCAGATACTGGTAAACTATTCGCTCAAATTTTGACGAAAGTTCTGATACAAAATGACTTAGTTTAACATTGACTGATACCGATAGTATGTCTTGATTTGGGAGCCCACGGTTTTCTTCCGAATTATTCTTTCACAAGCGAACATCAGGTTTCAACGTAGGGACATGTCTTAACCATCTCAGTTGATGAACATTCACAATCTTATCAACCGATTTACCATATTCATCTATTATCCTCAAAATTCTTCAGTAAATGGTTCCAACCTACTCAAACAATGCTTATAAGACATTTGATTAAATATCAGTAGCCTACAATATTGTTTATTTTTAGAGAGTACGTTTCACAGTAAACTTCTCTTTTGGTTGGCAGACGGAACTCTAACTTGAGCCGAAAATGACGTGAATTATCAGAAGCCAAGATGGCCTTTCGAATCCATGCCCAGATTTAATCAGACACCATTCCAAAAAGACTGACGAAACTTCCAAGATAAGAGAAGTAGTCCAACAAAAAATTACAGATCTACTCTTTCTAGCATATTCAATCATAATATGATTAATATCAGTAGTTGTATTAATATCGATATTATTATTATTGTAATGGAACAATTCAAGCAATTGGAACGGGAGTAATAATTTTTCTAGCGAAATCGATCCCAAAATACCAATTAAACTAACTTTCAAAGATAAGATCACTAATCAAATGATTGAATTAATGGCTTTATCTAGAATTGAAATATTTAATCAGGTTCATAAAGTTGAATGACTTTTTGAATGAGAAACACTGAGTAATCAAAAAAAGGGATAGATGTAGCAAGATAATCCATTAGACTGAACTACTGTTTATCATACCACTTATGAAGAATTCCATCCAACCTGTTATATGGTTCGATATCATACGTCTTACATCTAATGGAAGAAGTGGAAACTCACACAATTAAACGTAATTTATGCATCTATGGTAAGAAAATACAACTTTTGTCTTTATAGTGACGAATAGGGTGATTAAAAGACTACTGTGAGATTATACTTGTTACCACGCTTTATCTATGGCAGAAGCAAAACATACAACTGTCAATCAAAGAGCCACTGTGTTACTCAGCAATTAGTTTTGCGTTAATTCTTAACTGTGAAACGGTAGTTTTAAGTCAGGATAGATATTCACACTTCCGGTAATGCGATCGTGAATGTCTTTAATTAAGTGTTACTGATGAAGGTATGGACTTTGTGCTCGGGGTTTATGTGATAATTATTAGTTTATGGTTGAAAAAAATACAATGGTAAGGCTCAAAATAAATTGCCAGTAGACAGATATATTCATTTTGTAATACTATTTGGACTTGAATTTTCAATATTATTTTCCATCTCTTATTCCATTAACAGTAATTACTAAACTAAACAATTGATTGATTTTTTTAAAGAATGTAGGTTATTTTTCGAGATGACAGAAACCCTTTTATTAAGAAGTGCCCAAGAAGCACAGTCTTTATTTTGGTCATCTGACTCCTCGCTTAGCTACTGATTGTTGCTTTACAAATATGAATGATGAGTTATTCTTATCAACTGTTGGAATAAAACAAAATAATATTGAGTTGAGCATCAGCGAACGACTATTTTACACCATATAACTTTTGTCACGCTTTTACATAAGTATAGTTTTACATAAATAGATCAATGTTTAATCTAACATCCATTCTAATATATTTTTTTTGTTTTTATCAGGTCATTACAGTCGACCTATATTTGCGATTGGTTTGATTATCCTTATAATTTGTATCGCTGGAATTTTGGGATCATGTTGTAAAAGTTCATTATGTTTAAAAATTGTAAGTACATTGTTTTAGTCTATTGAAATAATGAGCAATATATTATTACTTATGCTTCATTGTTAATTAGTATGTAATGATATAAAGCGTAAACAAGTGTTGAATACTTAATAAAACAGGAGGTTTACAGGCTGATACTAACAGTGTGATGTTTGGAAAACAGGGAACATTTGATGGTTATTTCGTCAGATCCTATAGCCCTTTACAACACCTTTGGAGTTTGAATGAGAACTTTTGTCTTTCAGCTAGCATGATACTTGATGTCTTTGTGTATGAAATCGACAATTCCGAACGCTGACTTGGGTAATAATAGAAAAAAGTGTATTGTTATATTCCAGCTAGAATAAAGGATGGTAACTGTTGGGATCTATGTATGGTCTAATACTATACATATATTTTTGTTGTATAACTATTAAATAACTAATCTATGCATATTCATGTTTCTCTGATTACAAGATTTATTTTGACCCATGGAATATTATCATACGATCTACCGTTCTTGAGTTATACCCAGTCTATTAATTACAGTCACCCACATTCACAACCACCTCTGGCTAGATCGCGTACAAATGTTGTTATCTATTTTGTAATACGATGTGGTCTGTTTGATTTGTACATAAACCCAGTATGTTTGAAATACATGATTCATATCGCGGAGCTGGAAATTGGTGTTCTGGATTCAATAGGCATGGGTAGGTAGGAAGAAGGATTGTATGGGTTTTGTGCGTCATGAGTCAGGTCGATAAATCACCATGTTGGCGGTATCATTACGTCATATATTAATAGGACACTAGGCTACAAGTTATAACATGTATCCCACCCGTGAACTGGAGACAGAAGCTATGCTTTGTCTAGAATATTTACTCCACTAACAAGAATTAAGATTCATTGATTTGCAAAAAGTTATTTGAATCTTCCCGTTGGTGATGTTGGTCAGTCTCTTAAGATTACCTCGAGTACATCTCTCGTATATAAATACATGTACAATACCGTTAGGCACAGAATAATAAAATACTATACTAAAACGTAAGTGAATTAATAGGGTAACAGATTGTTTCTCTTCTATTATGGTTAATATTAATATGATATCTATTGATAATAATTGAATTGATCAATGTTGATAGGCAACCAATTTGTAACTTGTAATCTCTAGAAATTCAATACAGATAATATAACAATTGTACATTTTCAGTAATAATACATAGACAAAATATAATTAGTCAACTCTTCAGATTGTGTAACCATTTTCTTAAACTTCATATATATAACGGGTTCTTTTGGTCCCATATCAACAAGAATGATCTAAAATCTGGTTTAATCTTCTTTTTTTTTTTTTAAATTCTAGTACATTGCAGCTATCTCTATCATCATTATTACACATATCATTATATTGATTGTTTATTTTGCAAGAAAACAAGTCGTAAGTCATGAAATTATAAAAAAATCAACTATTTTTCTTTGCCTATTGAATAATATGTCTTTTTAAATTTATACTTCTCTGAGCTAGATGATTTGATCGTTTATTCTATGTAAAATTGAGATTTTCATTTATTCCTCAAGTACAATGTTTGATCATCCTGACACAGTGTTTATGATTCTCTGTCTTCCTAGATCTTACTGTCTTCATTTGTACTTGTTGTCACGTTGACTGTCTTTGTCGGTTGTTCCTTGACTTTGTGATTATTTGACTTTACGTAGATGTACTTGTTAATTGCTAATTCATCTGAAGGCTATGTTGCTAGGACTCCCCTAACACTCTCAAAGTATCCCTATCCAGAATTTCAATATTTCATGAGACAAATTTATGCCCATTGTTGTTTGAATACACTGATTTCAGTGGTAGCATACCATGTTTCACAGCTGACCTATGTTCATTTATGCCTAGATGAAATGAACACTTGTTTTGTCCAATGCAATATTTATCATAGTTTGTACTATCTTATTTATAGATGTTTAATTTGTCATTTTCGCTATTATGTATTTTGATATGTATAAAGCGGAATGAAGTGATTGTGTTCATTAGTAAACAACGTTGATCCTAAAGACCTTCAGAATCCTTGTAATAGATTCGGAGACCTTACTTGCATCTGATAGAATGATCCATTTCTTATTGTCCGGGAATCAGTTTTGTAATATTATATTGATTTGCAAAACATCTTTTGATAAGGTTGTAGGTCTAGTCATTCTTATGGAAAATGGGCTTCTTCAATGGCGAGAGCACTACAGTGAGTTTTAGCTCTTCTAAACAGTGTCTGGGTATGTAATTTACCTCTTGGCCTGTTAAATTTTAAAGCGCACAATAACTATTAAGGCATCAATCTAAGTTTTCATATATTAAATTGGCATAGTGAGATAAAACTGATAATTTGGATGACAAAGGAGTCAGTATAGTAATATTAGTATTAGTAGTAATGGTAGTAATGTGAGTAATAGTCATAGCATCAATGAAAGTAACCGAGAGTAAACATAATGTTACTGATGACCGAAATCAAAATTTCACTTTTGCCCAACAGTTATTATATTGATTCCATAAATAATTATGATTGGTTTTTACTTCTGTTATTTGGTTTTGATTCTTAATAGATATTCAGATTGACTTTTAATTAGTCAGTCATTTATAACTCAGGACTTGACATTTATTATCATCGGTTCACGTTGCCCCACAACTTCGAAACAAGATGATAAAACTATATAAGCAAATTACATGGTAGTAAAAGGAATAACATTATCGAGAGTAGTAGAAACGATGGGAGGGGGGGTAAACATTTTTATTCGAAAAGCACTAGCAAATGCGTGAAATGAAAAGAATAAACATTTCTATTCAAACAGTGAATAGATCTTTGCTATAGTGACCTATTCTGAGCAATGTCATCGAATTGATTTTGGAAAAAAGTGAGGAAAATAAACGAATCAATGATTTTATAAGCTCTTAGAATTCAACTACATACTTTGAATTTAAATTTCGTCACATTTTGATATTCACCTGAAGAATTACTGAGATCCAAGAATTATTGAGTTTACTTGTAGTGTTGAACTGATAAGGATGAAGGATACATTAACACCACATGAGCTCATAAACCAAACCATTTCGGCTGATTTACAAGTACAATACCTCGTAATTTGATGGATCACATTGCGAAAACTAGTCATTTGAGAAATCCCTTTAGATAACATTTTGTTGAGAATAAGAATAATTAGTATGAACATCTATCCATCTTTGCTTAGAAAGCTTGTAATCTATGGCAATATCGAAGCAGTCCGCATAGAATGCACGTATGCCAATTTCAGTCCTAAATAACAATGGAAAAATACTAGTAAAAACAACATCAAGTGAATTTAGTATGAATAACAGTTTAAACTTTATCTACAAATCAACTATTAAAAAGGATTCGACGTCGATCGTACAGATAGATTCTTATATCACATGTTAGTAATTAATGTTATCCCCTGACCATAGTCCTAAGTGAATTTTATGAATCAAAGTGTATAATATGCTATGCTTAATATCACTGAATAACCTAAGATTTCTTTCAATGATTTAAAGACAATAGATTAGCTTAATGTAATCAACTATTCAAATTCTACATTAAAATGAAAGCAATGAATTTCTTAAATAAATTTTGTTAAATGTATAATGAGAAAATACAGGTTGATGTAAATGATCTTCTTTTTACTTTTTAAATTAAACAAATAAATAAATATGAAACGATTCGGCATCAATTCTAAATATGTCAGTTATGATTATTTACACAGTATCATATTTTTAAATGTACACATAATGAAATATGAATCAATATTATTATTCTCTCCCACTATCTCTCTCTCTATCTCTCTGTGCCTTCCTTCTATTTTCATCTTTGTGATCTATTTCACTATCAACGGTAATGATGAAACTCAAAGCAAACCTTTTGGCGAATACAAGTTTTACTGGCGAGAATATAGTTTATGGACGAATAAATCACGTATAGGATAACAGGTCTCGAATTTTGACACGAAATTCACTCATCCATTTGAATTAATAGAGTTTTAGCATTTTAACTGGTGTCAGTTCGTGATGAAAATCTGAAATCTAATTCTTAACCTTAATCACCAATTGTAAATTAGAATTGTAATTCCTCACACTGGTTTATAACCCTCATTTGGTCCTAGTTATTAGGTGGACACTCTCATGGTCACTTTAGTGTCGCTCAAAGGTTGTCCATAAATTATAGTCTCACCGCTTTACTTTGTGGTGATCATTTGTATTCCTGTATGTTATTGTATTTGTGTGTATGTCACAATTTTTCCGCCCATAGATATATTTTGATGAACTGTAATTCTAACCAATATTGTACGTTCACAGTGAATAGTGACTGGTGTGTGTTTCAAGCATGCAAAGCCTCGTTGGTTAGTGGGGATTCATAGCATTATGAAAGGACATAAAATATATATCAGGTAACGTACGCTGATCCCAGTATTACTCAGTTTTCTATTGCGCCATATATGAGCACTAGTTAGAAAAAGACTGGGATAAAATACCAGTAAAAAGAAGTTAATGAATATTGTATATGTGGTAATAATAATAACTAATGGTAATAATAAGGAATACTCAATTCCGTACTGAGTGCTTGCGTAGACAACTTTTAATAAACACTCGTAACTTCTGGATGATGGCTTTCGTAGTCTCCAGGTTTCCGCCCCATACAGTAGAAATCTCTTGACATTTATATTGAGAATTCTGACTTCGGTATTGATTGACAGACAGTTGTTTTGAGTTTCAGATGTTCTTCAGCTTTACCGATCCGCACATGAACTTATCAAATGTCAAAAATTCAATTTTTTACCCAGATGTACACAAAAAATGTTATATTATTACAATGAGATGATGAAGACGATTTTTAGCTCAGTTTTAATCTTTCGACTATTATTATGTTCTCTTAGTTAGACGGTCTAATTGAAGAATATTGATCGTCATTGTCCAGGATGACAATGCAAGTTTGAATAGACCCCTAATACTACTCAGAATCCCAGTGTTCACTACTATATATATTCCTTTGATCAGTCACAGGATTCCATTATCTACGGGAACTTTACATTTAAACAAATTTGTTTTGATAAATAAGCACATTTTTTAAACCAAAATATCCCATTGATCAGTCATCATGATGAATACAGTTAGGATTTAGGTTGATCTTAATCGCCTACATAGTTTTCTTCCTTTTTTATTTTTCCTTTCGTCTATATAATTACAGCCTCATACATTCCTAATTCAGTTTTTGAATTATTCAATTCATGATTATGTAAGTATATCCAGTGGTGATCCGAATAGTATCTTAATGGGTCTTATCATGATGAAGGTAGGTGTTTATTTTTTACAGAAATAAAATGCCATTTATCGAATTTATTATTATATTTGTTAATATAAGAGGTTTGTAAAGATTATTTATGTCACTGAGTAACTTTATTCGGATAACCATTGTAAATAAGAAAACAATGAACAGTTATTTCATCTTATTGTGGGATATCTCAACAATGTTCATCTATTATCACTACTGGGATCAAAGTGACTGAAGTTAGAAATCTAATACTTTGGAGATCAACTCAATGATCTAAAGGTTAAGTGCTTGTCTTGTGGATCCTCACTTCTGAATAATCTCATATTGAGACAATACATAATCAGTCGGTGATTTAAATTATAAATTGAATTGATTCATTGTTCGGCTATTACAATTACTTCGAAACGTTTGAGTAACCCGAATAAACATAATTATTTATTATTTATTTAAACATCTAAACATTGGTACAAGGAGGCACTAAATAGATATGCTCCCCATAAATCATTCGATTTGTGTGAAGGCTGGGATACTACCTGTGTGCCCAAACCGAAGCAGGTACCGAAATAAAACTTCAAGAGATGTTATTGTGTTGTTAAATTTCAAATAAATATTCCACATAACTTTTAAAGATTTATTAGTATTCCAAATGATGTAAGCAGTGAGCTTGGCTAAATGGATAGCTCATTCAGTAATAGCTAGCCTACACAAATTTTTACTAATCATGCAAAATTGTCATATATGCACAACTGTGCATTTATGAACCGTAGGTAACAGTTACAGCAATAATGGTCTTTATAGTTATACAGAGTTTATACCGCTTAAAATAAGTTGTATCATAAACATCTCTCACCTGGAGAATAATTTGTAAACCTTAGAAAAAATGAATAGCTTAGACAGAAAACAATCATCGTATTTTAAAAGTACAACATAGAACTACATAATGTGCAATCAAACCCAGGATGTTTGGTTATCACAACCAGCACAGCATATTGAAGTCTTTCTATTGGAATTCATTATTTTACTTTTCAAAATTCAGTCAATTCATGATATACGACAGTAATCAATCAAAATCACTGATAGATTACTGTCTTATGAATGAACTTCATTAGTGAAGATTTGTTAACTGAACGTCAATAATCCATCTGAAAGCTATTCACTAGTAAACTTCAGGATTGTAGTTTGATTAAGATATTGTCCAATCTGTAAATAATTTTTGTCAATTTCAGCTCAGATTTCAATCTGTTCTTTTTTAGTTAAATTGTTGTGGAGCCCGAAATGGAAGTGATTTTTACCACCCAGTTAAATTTAACAGGACGGATGTTTGGAATGGTGTAACATGTAAATTAAACTTTAAAGATTTAATTTATAAATTCACTTGATGTTGTTTACTTGAATCTTCCCAATGTTATTTAGAACTTCAACTGATCAGTCTATCTCATATTGGCATATGTGCATCTTGTGCGAACTGCCTCGACATTCCCTTAATTCACAAGCATTCTAAGTAAAGATGGATAGTGGCTAGCAGTAGAATCTAATTTGACGGGTGTTTCGTCCTATTTGGGACTTGTCAGCTGGATATATCCAGAGTGAACATTAACTCTGTGATGCAGACACATCTAGCTGACGAGTCCCAAATAGAACGAAACGCATATTCTTGATTCTACTACTAACCGTTATCCATCTTTGATTTAATTTATACTTAATAATTGTTATTCGAAAACTGTTAGTAGATTGATTGTGTGACATTTTATGAATCATCATCTAATGGACATTTAAACAGCGTTTTTTGTTTTCGGAAAACTATTTTCTTGAAGAAAATTGTTTTCTTTTTTTGAACTGTCGTTGTACTGATATGATTTGCGATTGTCTATGACAGTTATTCGTCATTGTTTTACAATTTTGACGGGATTGTAAACTGTAGATCCTTTTAAGAACTGCTAATTATGATGATTTGTAAATGAGTGCAAGTTCACATAAAATGATCATCCTTGGATTAAGGGTTAGTAATTTTAAAAAATGCGTTTTGTCCAAATGTGATCACTTAATGGCATGAAATCTATTTTGATCATTATTCAACACTCAATGAATATACCATTACAAATCATTCTTCGAACAGCTTACCACAAACGTTCATCGTTTTCTGTTCATTGGGGTTTAAATAATTGCACTAATGACACTTGGAATCAAAATCTTCGTCAGAAATCCTGTTTTGAGTCATATTAAAATGATCTAAGACTTCTTTTTCATAATACAACTATATTATGCTATTAATCTTCAATGAGGCTAGAAAGATTGTATATAAGGGTATAGTACAGGAAGAATGAATTAGTTCGTAGAAAGAATGATATGAAGCGATTTTAATGTCATAGTTTAAGGCAAGACAGAGTGTATATGCCTACGTCATTATGATCGCTTCTGAGCCAGCACTCAAGACCACTGTATTCAATGGACATATATATCTTCTAATCGACTGCATACTAGAAGGGTGGATACTTATTACTCCAATAATGCTATAGTATGTATACAAATTTACTTTGAACAAACAATACAAGAAGCAGTTCTTATTTGGAGCACAAATTTTGTCCGTTTTCACATTTTGACGAGGTTTATTCTTACCCAAACCCAAATGTGTTAAGCATTTAAACTTTAATCAATGATCAGACGAAAGTTAATCATTCTAGTTATCAGCATTAAATTAAATTAGTCAAAATTAATAAACTTGGTTAAAAACAACTTTTGTTTTTGTTCTGATCAATAAGATAGGTGCAATCATTGAAAATCAGTTACCAGTTTTTTAAGTTATTAACCATTCACTGTATAGTATGAAACAACATGTTCAATAACTCAATCAAAGGTTGACGAGCACCCCTTTCATGTTACCGCCAATTGAATTTATAAATTTACGTGTAGCTGCCAAAGCAGCTACATTGGCCGGACAGAAAGGAGGGTATATCTTAGATTTTTTGAACATGTTCCGAGAAGCCTCAGAACAAGAGAAAGAAAGACTCTAAACAGTACAATCACCAAAATATTAGGTCGATACTTTGCAATCCATCAAGGTGATTAGTAAGCACCCGAACTCTAGGCTTCTGAAGTTTGCTGAAGCCGTTGCCATCAGGCATCAAAAACCTGGTTATTAATCTTTCCTTGCCCTGGTGACAAATATTCCTTCTCTGCATTATAAAATCTTTTTTTCTTTTTCTTCAAACTCTTTCTTGCATTTATTACATCATTGAGTTTTATTTCAACTATCTTCCAAGTTAATAATCTTATTTTATCACCTGAGCTCTACTCATTATATTCCTATCAATGTTTAATTATTACGTAATCACTTGTTTCTGGTTATTTGAACTGTTGTCACAGTCAATGTCATAGAATGTTCTTTCACATAAGGTATATATATTTACAATATTCAGTCTATTCAATTTATTTACACCCTTGCTATACTATACGACTGAATATGTCTTCAATAAAACTTCCAACCAAATCCTTTCATGTAAGTAATTAAAACCCATTATGTAATTGTGACCTTTAAATGTCACAGGTTGTAAGTAACTGACGAGATCCAGATGAAATAAAAATGGATTCATACTATTCTGTTAGAATCTTTGTTCTCGCTCTTTTCACAATGATAAAGGGAACTATGTGTGTATGAAATTTCAACTGTTTAGTGTTGGATTACCATATTTATGGCCAAAATAATTCAGCACTAAATTTCACTATATGATAGGACATATTTAAAAGATCAATTCCTTTGAGTTAACAAATAGCTATCTATTTTATTGGTTAATATCAACTAAAATGTCTACAAACTTTTGTCTATATTTTGCGCCACAAACGATTTAAAACAAAGTGCCAATTATGATTGGTTTATTGAGGTCTTTAAGATTTAACAGTATATGGATTATGCTATTTATTCTTTTGTATTTCTGCTTTCTTCATCTGTAAATAGATACACATTTAAGATATCCAATACCATGTTGTAAATTTAATGAAAATCTTGAAATAGAAGATTCATGTCCTAAAAGTTTTAGAAATTCCAATGTACATAATGGATGCTTGAAACCATTACATCAACTCTTAACACATTACGTTGATATAGCAGCGTATATATCATTGATACTTTTATTAAGTGAAGTAAGTGGGACTTTCATTTGATAACCGTTTCTTTTTTTATTTATTAATATCTATGGATGAAAATTATCAGTTTTATGATTGAAAAAAATCATCCACTTAGTTGAGTTTCAGTAATGGAGAAATCTATACTTCACACAGTATTTATGGACAACCTTTGAGCGACACTAAAGTGACCATGATAGTGTCCACCTAATAACTAGGACCAAATGAGGGTTATAAACCAGTGTGAGGAATTACAATTCTAATTTACAATCGGTGATTAAGGTTAGGAATTAGATTTCAGATTTTCATCACGAACTGACACCAGTTAAAATGCTAAAACTCTATTAATTCAAATGGATGAGTGTATTTCGTGCCAAAATTCGAGACCTGTTATCTTATAAGAGGTTTGTTCGTCCATAAATTATAGTCTCAACGAAGATTTTACCAGCTGTTGATGATTTGGTACTCTTCTATGGAAATGGGTTGTGCATAAACATCATCAATGAAATGAGCTTTTCTGACGAAATTTCAATGTAGATTAATATAAAAAAATACTAAAAATTTTAGGCTAGTTGCTACAATGAATTGTCATCCATTGTAAAATTGTTAAATATTATGAATCGGTGGTACTGTACAACAAAATCGGTCTGTCGTCGAAATTAAACAGGATTGAATTGGAGACTTATAGGGGATCATTTTCTAACCCGATTACACTAATTAATGATTCCTGTTTTGCTAGTCACTAGGATGTAAATACGTTTAGTTGCAACTCATAGTTGAGGATTAACTTATTTCAAATCGGCTAATCACCAAAATCTGGTATAATCAGTCGAACTTCCGAAGAACTTATCAGAATCCACATCAGTTCACGAATAGTTTTTTTGACTGACAACTGTGCATGATCCCAAGTTTAAATCTGTATAGTCTTTTCAATTTCTTCATGACTACTGAGTGAGTTTTATGGTGTTTATCAGTTGGAAAGAGATTAATTTTATTGAATTCTTAATCATTGTCGGTGAGACTATAATTTATGGACGAATAAATCACTTATAAGATAACAGGTCTCGAATTTCGGCACGAAATTCACTCATCCATTTGAATTAATAGAGTTTTAGCATTTTAACTGGTGTCAGTTCGTGATGAAAATTTGAAATCTAATCCCTATCCCTAATCATCAACTGCAAATTATAATTATAATTCCTCACACAGGTTCATAAGCTTTATTTAGTCCTGACTATAAGGTGTACACTCTTAAGGTCAGTTTAGTGTCGCTCAAAGGTTGTCCATAAATTATAGTCTCACTTCATTGTCTTTAAGAACTCGACAAACTAAAAGACAATATTACAACAAGCAATGATTGGTATAAGTTATTTGTCCATACGGCATGATAACGTTCACCACACATTATTATTACTTTGAAAACTGAGTCATGTAACATAAAATAATAGGTTTTGTTTATTTAAATCTTAAGTATACAATTTCTATGTAGTACTTTCGAAGTTTGTTCCTGGTTGTGTTTCTTTACGCACAAATGTCATTAGCATTCTTAAGCTATTTGTAACTCAGTACTGTCTAATCGTTTCGAATCCAGTTAATCAACAATAAAACAGTTTAATAAGGTACAATACACTACGAATTTAAAGAATAGTTTTCTGTTTCAAATGATTCCGTCTAAGAAATCATTGAAAACCAGTCACGAATCGGTAGTCATTTTTTTATATTTCGGGACATTTTGCAGGAATGTGTACTCATCAGTGAAGCTTAAACCAATTCTAAACCACTAACCATTGTCAGAACACCATCTTTATTCACCATATCAAACTGTAGTCGATTTGCATTAAAAAGTACGTACTGTTTACTATTCTTATTGGAGCATGAATGATTCCATAGTTCAGGGTTTACCAACTAGTATTCTTAAGGTTTCATTGTATATCAGTTAGTAATGTACTTAAACCTTATATTTGGTAAGTCGGTTTACAAAGTAATTCATACATTGAAGATAGTTTATATCAGGTGAAAAAAGATTACGTTTTTACAAGTCGACTGAACTTGGAAATAATGATAAACCTCAATTTCAGCTAAGCTGTTCATTTAGACAGAAACTTGAGTTTTTTTTAATGTGATTCCGTACAGAGTTACGTCGGTATATTGAATAAGAGTATCAAATTAAATCAATAAACTATCACCCACTAATCGTTTTATTCAATGAAATTATTTAACTGATGTTTAAATTTTACGGTGTTAAAAAAATGAAATTAAAAGTTTTATTATGTCTTTCTAAGCCGTATATGGTTGAACTTCATTGAGCATGATATCTCGATAGAACTTTAGAAATATTTTTAGAGACGACCAAAAATCAACAAACCATTTTTCAATCTAAGAACAGTATGGATTGTGAAGTGACTAACTAGGTAATCAATAAAAATATTGGAACACTCGATAGTCATATTACTTCAGTACAAAACTTTTCAACAGTGTTCATTCATTACTTTTCATATAAAGTAACTATTTCTTTAATACATTATTATATTTCATTTCTTTTTACTCCCCCCCCTCCCAAAAAACAGATCATAATACTTCTAATGGCTGTATTGATAAATAAAAGGAGATAATAACTGGATAAAAACTATCAACAAGTGAATACATATTCAATGATAACTTCATGTAATTATCTCATCGCTAAAGGATGATATAATCAGCAACAACAACAGCAACAACAACAAAAAACCAAATAAAATCAATCTTATAGTGTTCATTTTTTGTTACCAACACGTTTTTGTTTGGTTTGTTCTTTTTTTTTATTCGAAATTCTCGTTCAATTGGTAGAATATTTTTTCTTTCTTTTCTTAAAAAGAAAAATGTCCCTTCATAACATAATCACTATCATACAAACAATATATATAGATTATATATGATTAATGTTAGATACACTTTTGTGCACCTTAAACATTGAACATTTGAATTTAGTAACAATAAATCGATTGATTCATTATCATATTGGTTCTCATAAATATTATAAACCTTTTCATTATTGTCTTTTGGGTGTTGTTAGTTCCCTTTTTCAAAATAACTGACAATGATAATATTCATCTATTAATGAATTTTTAAACAGAATGTAATAGTAACAATGAAAATTCACTTAAAATTTTGTGTATAAAATTACAATATAAACTAATGTAATTCTATTAGGGTTTTTTGATGTTGTTTATTTCTTAATCAAACAATCAATCTATATATTATTTATTTATTTAAATATATAAACATTGGTACAAAGAAGCAACAAACAGATGTGCAACATATAAATCATTCGATTTGAGTGAGCGCTGGAGACTGTCCGGGTGCTCAAACCGAAGTAGGTGGTCTTCTTGAGGGGCCACATATAGGTCTGATCCACAAGGCAGTGGAGAGACGTAAACAGATGTAGTCCCATGGTAGCCAGTGGTCAACGATTTGTCCCTTCAGGATCCTGGAGTCTATGTACACCATTGCTTTAGAATCAGGGTTTTCCAACTCCCCTGGGTGGATCTTCCGTATCCGCCGGACATTCGCTTTTCGTCCTCTCAATTTCGTAAACAACACCCGTGGTGCGAGAAGGCAGTGAGTCGGACTTCCTTGGCAGTGGTTGTATGCATGTGGCCATGTGAGAGCACTTCGAGAGGTAGAGTTGACTCTCCCCACTCTCGACCGTACCAGGGCATTTGAGGGCTATGTATGATCGATTCTTAGAAGAATTAAATAAGAATAACCAGTTGTTCAGAGTTGTTTTACTGTTTAATGATATAAAACAAGTCTACTGAAAAATGTCATTAATAAAGATTTGTGTGTGAGAGAAAGATAATGATTGGTTGTTTGCTAACTCAGACTAGGAGATACTCTAATAGGTACAAGATGAGTGATATATTCTGTTACACATATTATTATTATCGGATTGTCGTTAGGCTGTTGTCAGTTTTTGTTGCCAGTTGTTGATGTGGAAGTATACTTACGTTTTAGTCAGGCTAGTCACGTGTTTTTGTTCTATGTTAATATCCTGTAAAATAGACACTGGTGGGGTATCTAGTATAGATATTTGTCTAAGGCAAATTAGTGTCCCATTCATGTAGACAAGAAAAACTGAGCGATACAACAGTATGGAAAAGAGGAAATAAAAATTAACGACTTATAAGTAGTGTTCAAATGTTTAGATATACTTTCAATTATATTTAAGAAAACAACTTACTGAAGGAGGGAAATTAATTCCAAAAATGTTATATGCAATAAATAGGATAACTCAATTAAAATTAGTAGAGCTTATAAAAGAAACAATAGTAAAAAGGGATTTATAATTGATAATAATAATAACTTAGATCATAGATAACTACAGGCTGGAAACTAAAGTCATCATGAATTAATACCCGTTGTAATGCAAGGAAGATGTAACTGTTCAATGCAGACATGTTCTATTTCAAACAATAAATACAATCCATAAGTTGTCGTTAATGAACACTTTTAAAGAGTACCATACTTTGATTAAACAGCTGTCTAGTGCCTTTCTATGTAAAATCATTGAGTGGTACAGAAATGCACACACTTTCATAGGGTGTGCAATAACGGTGCTGTTATATCTGGATATGTAAAACGAAATTCCTGGAATCAACCTCTAGAGAGTTGTGAATAAGCACAATTAAAATGTTACATATTATATAGAGAAAGCTGTTCTTTGCTCCTTGTTTTTCGTTGGTTGTTGAGCTAAAGACAGTTTACTGTGTAAAAGCTACACATTAAACAAACGGTAAGGCTCTCCTTTAATAAATTGTTTATCATAGAATAAAACAATATCAAAATTAATTGTTACACCTGATATTTACAGGTTATTCCAAATGTCATCTTTCTAAAATTATTTGAAAAAGAACACAAATAAGATTGTAGATCATCAACGTTGATGATCTCTATCGAATGATTTGGGGCCTACTCAAGTTAGACGGGAATGATGTGACCAACAGCTCACGTCGAAGTCACACCTCAAGGTTAGCACCTAATGTGGATCACCCCTTCGTCGTATCAAGGTACTATGGATATTTTGAAAACTGTACAACACAAAGGACGTTATTAAAGAAATATATTATTATATATTATATTGTATTATTATTATATTATAATATATTATACCATTATTATATTATTATCATCATTATATTATATCATATTATATTATTATTTAAAGTAGGTACAAGCGAAAGTGTGACCACTACTGCATGGGCCAGTTCATGGCGTACGACTAACTGATGCGCATTTTTTGCCCTTGACCTTGACAGGAATCAGTGATCTGTTCGATATTCAGTGATCCAACTGCGGATGATTTGACTAGGGCTCAGTGGCATTTCACTGGCCCTACAAGATATTCAAATACACATTGTTATTGCTGTTGTCTATCATATAATGATACCAAGTGTAATTATGTTTGACAATTAATCTTCTCGATTTGGGTGTTGTGAAGATTGTCAAGTTTTTGATTGAGATCCGCGAGCGGGATCGTGGATGCGCACTGCTAAGGAGTCCCACAATACGACGAAACGGCCGTCCAGTGCTTCCAGGTTTTCAATGGTGGTCTAAAATCAATTGGTTCATGATCTCAATCAAAAAACTAATCTTCTCAAGATTTCTTGTTGTGCGATGTAAATCGACAGCATTAGATGAACACTATGAATAAATTATTCATACAAGTATAAGATATATTGGAAAAGTGAAGGACTTGTATTATCCTCCGTAAATTTATGTATATAACATGGTTATTGATAAAGTAAACAGACTTAGTAAATCGAATAATTCACTATTTTAATTCACCCACAATCTGTTCATGTTTTCGACATATTATATAATATTTTTTATACAAACCATCTAACATTGTTTCACAGAATACAGACGAAATTTACTCAAAAGCTAAACAAGTCGTTTTGACTGGTGATAGGATCCTTTGTTTCGCAAACATTTCTACGAAATTCTATTGAGACATTAAGGATAATATACTATACGAACTTATACTACTTATAAATTGTAAGTAACACAAGGAATAAGGTAAAAAAATGTTTTGTTCACGTTAGTAGAAAATTTGTTGATGGTAATATTTCATCATCCGTTGTAAACGTCATACAATTGGTTGAAATGTTAGATTTGGCTATCTGGTTAACTATTTGAGTGCGTAGGTGTTTAATGATTGTCTTACAGAAAATGGTCATTTCTTGGTCGATATAATAATGCATTTCAATAAATAATTTATGCATTCTGCAATTATATATCCATATGAATAATTCAAAGGTTGGGCGGGATTAAGCTACGTACATCATTTAAAATTATAGGAAGGAATGATTATTTGAAAAATAGAATAGAGTTATTAATTGAGGCAGAATAATCTCTCAAGATTTCCTACTTACAGAGTGAGTAGATCGGTCACTATGAGGAAACATAAACAAGCAAATTGCTTATACTTGCTATTATGAGAAACAGAATCAAGGCAACTTGCTCCTCAGATGCCGTTGTACAAAAATAAAATGCCCTAACAAGTTTATAAATACATATTTAGCCAGGAAAACAGAAGAAGAAAGTCATAACTATGAGCACAAAGTCTCTTTATACGTCTATAATTTAGATATGACGTGCCCAACGGAACACTAATACTGAAGTTGCACATAGGAATTTAAGGATCCTGTTTTACGGGTAAATTATAATTAATGTTTTCTAAGTGTTCAATGGTCACGTCGAGATGGAAAGATAAACTATCTAGACCAGCCACCTATTTACTTAGCTATTAATCCGGCTGCAGTTGTGGAGGAAGTTATGTTGGTAGAAATTCTAGGAATCTATATTTTCGTGTTTATGTGCATCTTATTAACCATCCTAACATCATTAATTTAATTTTATCTTACAAACAATCATGAATTCAAATTAGCTTGGTATTGTTTACTTGAATCTTCCCATTGATGATTAGGACTACAATTATTCGGTTTCCTATTGGCATATGTGCATATTGCCTTTATTCGAAAGCTTTATAAGTAAAGATGGATAGTGGCTAGCAGTGGAATCCATGATGTGAGTTCCGTACTATTTGGGACTCGTCAGCTGGATGTACCTGCATCTGAGTTGATTTTCACACTGGGACTCGTCAGCTGGATGTACCTGCATCTGAATTGATTTTCACTCTGGACTGAAACCCAGTATCGTTCGCTTCAAACGCCATTGCATTATCCATTTAGCTACTGATTATCTATAGCCACTCGCTTGTGCAATGGGGTGAAGTTTAAATTCACTTGGTATGGTCTGATTAATCTTCCCATTGATGATTAGGACTGGAATTGGTCAGCTTCTCATCGGCATATGTGCATTCTGTGCGTATTGTCTTAATTCACAAGTATTATTTACCTTAAACCTGATCACCCTTTGAATTAATGCTTTTGATATATAATTGTAGAATGTGAAGAGTATATAGTTTGTTCATATAACTGTGTTTTAATATGATGATAGTTTTTTCAAACAACAGAATTATAATTTAACACGAATTTTTAGGTATTAATTTGTTTTTATATTACTGGTTATATATACATTGAGAACAGAAACGAATGAGAAAACTATAAAATCGGGTTTGAGGAGCATTCTTGACTGAGATCATGAACTGATTGGTGTTAGACCACCATTGAAAACCTGGAAGCACTGGACGACCGTTTCGTCCTATTATGGGACTCCTCGTCAGTGGGAAACGGCCGTGCGGTGCTTCCAGGTTTTCAATGGTGGTCTAACATCAATCAGTTCATGATCTCAATCAAAAACGTAATAATTTCCATAACCCTATACTGATAATTGTAGAGAATTGGCTGTGATAAATTAGCCCATATTTAAAAAAAGTTCTATCAGTGGAAATGGATTAACTAAGACAGATGAGGAAAGTTTTTTTAAGGGATGAATTCCGGAAGATTTCGTATATTTTGTAGTCGGTACAGAATTGCAGGAGATGAACAAGATGTCCTGCATTAATAAATACTTTTAACATGCATGATAGACAGATAACATCACTTTCATCCATTGAGAACTTCGCAGATCTCTTGAAGTAGCAATATATGTGTGCCAGAATCTACGTTGCATATTATTGACCGACTCCGTAGGTAGAGAGGCAAACTCACTTTTATTCATATTCAGTGAGCAGACATAAAAAAGTTAATGAATAATATTTAGTTATTTTGGAGACTATGGATTATCTAAGCACCAAAGTTTATTACTGGTTCTTCAGCATTTATGGTCTCTGC